CGAAAATAATAAATTACACTTTCAAACTGTTGTACGGGGAAAAAAAAAAAAAAAGATACTAGTAGTGGAAACGCAGCATTTAAGGCCCTTAATGGTAGCCATAAATGTATGGCAAATAGTATTTGCACATTCTACTATAACGCATATAAAATAGTAACGCAAGAGATTTTAAGCTAGAATAGAAAGCATTGTATTAATTTTATCACAAGCTGTTGCACACAAGCCAATGCTTTTATGAAACGTAAATAAGTCAGATAAATTATTGAAATTGTTTATGTATTTCACAGACAGCTGTCTACTTATGACAAAATAATATTCAAGATAAATGTCCTAACAACAAATCATTGACAACTTCAATGATAAATTATAAGAAGTCCAATTAGTTGGCAGGAACATTTGGTTGCAAGCTTAAGTTAAGAGAAAATTAATAAAAATTTTAAATAAAATTGTTTTGGAAAGGGCTCCCACACATTTTTCGCACTGCTTTATGAGTATTGTATATTATTCTAGTTGGCTATTAAGCTATTAACAATTATGCGCACGCTTGAGCTAAAAATTATAAATTAAATGTTTCACATGACAAATAATGAGAAGAAAAAACTGCAAAGATACAAATCATAGAGAATCAGATATCAACATGTTGAAAATGCAATTAAAATTATGATGGATAATAGTTTTAAAAATTCATGCCTACAAACATTCCATAAACAATATCTTAAATTATCTGAGAGCACGCGCAATTGCTGATATCCTTTAAAAAGAAATAACATTGTTCACTGCATGTTAAACAGTTTCCACAGAACTTTAAATTCTTCAACATTTTTTTAAGCATTGTTAATCAAATTTAATCATTCTTTTTTAATCGAATTTAATTGTATTTAATTGGTGTATAATACAAAAAAACACCAAGCTCTGTGTTGCTACTTTAACGGTTCATTAAGCTGCTGGTGAACAAATTTCATAACCGTGTTTTTGCTTTTTAATTAAAATTGTATTTTAATGCTGAAGTGCACTGAGAATGCCTGTATCTACATAAAAGCCAATAAATACTGTATTCAAATGAAATTAAAATGAAATAGTCACACATTCGAGCAGAAGCTTTCACACCAAATGAATCTTAAGTATAGCATCTACATATGTATGTATGGCTTATGTGAGGTTTAGGCTTCGTTTATTAGTGATTTAATTTAATTAATATTGACGTGTAATTGTGTACGGTAATAAGCGGAGCTTTAAGTCAATCACTCCCTGCTTAATTCCCTCATCATCTATAGCCCTTATCGAGCTCTGGTGACCACAGCTGCTGTCAGTTTGAAAAAGTTATCGTTCTCGTTGTGGCGCTGCAATTTAGCGCATAATTCACTGTGTATAAAATTTAATTAAGATGCCAAAGTTTTTCACACTTTGAGGGAAACCCTGCGCATATGCGTCGGCAACCGCACCCTGGGCATTCAAGCAGTCAACAACAACAACAACAGCGGCAACAACAACAATAACGGCAACTACTTACTTTGGCTTTGGCAAAACTTTTCGGTCTCTTCCCAAATTGGCAGCGGACAAAAATTACCCGCACTGTTGAGTGCACTTGGCCGCTGTGTTAATTATGCCACGCCCCTCCTCCCCCCCCCCCCCTCCATCTTCCGTCTAGCTTTTCCTTTCTGATGCTTCCTTAGCTGCTGTTATTATTTTTCTTGGCAACCGCAAAAGTTTTGTTGCAAATTTCTGCTCAAACAAAGCCAAAACAATTTAATTGTCACAGTCAAAGTGAGACGCTTATTTCCACTACTGCATTCTCCCATAGCGTTGAGCATGAACGAGTTGCATTATGGCCAGGATGGAGCTGACAACAAAACCAAGACATTTTAGAGAGACTCAAATAAGGCCATTAAGCTTGAACAGTTCAAGACTTTAGACTAATTTGAATTGTCTGCTGATAGAGGTAATAAACTTTTAACTGGCACGTTGATCTACCGCAGCATACATACATCAACAATAAATGCAAATCGTACTCATATGTATACTCTAAAAATTAATTGTAATAATGTATTCTTAGCTATGGCTTAGTCCGATCAAGGGTATGCTCCCTGATATATTCGCATCTCAATATTAAATCTGCCAAGATCAATTGTTAGTACTCCTCCACTACATATTAACTCTGAATAATCGATAGTTTTCGCACAATATTTGAACCACATTGTGGGAGGCGAACAAAATAATAACCCCCAGAGCAAAACTTAAAAGGCACGTATTATTAATTAATTTGCTAGGAACAGACTGACTCGCGAGCGATAAGGCTGTCAGAGTTCCTGTGTTGAATTCATATAATGTTTAAAAAAATATGTCTTTAAAACACTTTCAATTGAATTCACAAACAAATACTATTTAATCATCTTCGACTCGGTTATAAGCAGGAAAATGTTCCCTTTTTCACAAATGGCCATAAAACATTTATTACACATATTACACATAGCTACAGAGTATTTTAATGTCTTTAATTCCTAAAAAATTCAAACATATTTTATAACATTTAAATAGAATTATATTAAATTCTGTGTTTACATGGAAATTGGTTCGAGAAACAACCGTGTAAAAAATAGGTGATTGGATCTTTATCTCTAAAGAAATATATATGCAATTTTTAATTTTCAAACCGCGTCTAAAGACCATTTAAAAACTGAATTAGATGTATACTTAATTAAACAAAAAAAATCGTTAATAATTAACTATGTATATTGATCGATTGATCTTCCCACTACCCTGTATATATTACCATAAATATTTTTCCAGCCCTGTTTTTTTATGGAAATAAATAAATATTTAAAAGTTGGGATTTGAGCATTTCCCCTTATTTTAACAACTGATTTCAATATTGAAGGCGTTTTTCAAGAAATTGAATGCCATGTTTTTCCCTCAATGTCTGTTAGAACATGTTCACGACCTGTCCGCAAAAAAACTACCCCAAAATTCATCCTATTTCGTAGCATGGGCCGCTTCCATTCACAGGACACAGGACAGGACAGGACACGGTCGCTTTGTCTTCATCGCAGTCATCGTCATCGCCGTACTTTGGCGATGTTTACGAGTTTTTTCAACTAAATGAGCATGTTCCTTGTATCTATGGCATTTGCGGCAGCACCAGCTGTCAGAATGGGAATGGGTCATCCATTTTTTCTCTGCTGCTGCCTCGTTTTTTTGCCTGTTTATATTGTGGGGTCACTAATGAGCAACGACATTAAATAAAATGCCAGCCAATTGTCGTTTGCGCTTATCGGCGTGAGCGCATTACAAGGGCGAACTTTTGATGCATGTTGTGGGCGTGACTGCGCTCCAAATGTGGCCTCAGTAATTGATTTCCAACATGTGAGAAGTGCTGCTTTGTCGCCTCTGGCACTCGCTAATGCCACAACAAGCCCACTTTGTGGCACTCCTCAAGTACGAGTACATACTCGTATACAGAGACTAGAGACTAGAGTTCTTGGCAAAATGTTGAGCAACAAGGCAGGCAGCACATTCTTTTCAAATTTAAAAATGCCTAAAAGCGTCACTTTGGCACTGCGCCAAAGAGGAGTGCTTCGCCCATTGACAAGATGCCTCCTTCTGCTTCTAAAGTGCACTAAAAGGCACCAACTGAATAGAAAAAGTGTGGGTGGCAGCAAAAATGTTACAACTACTGAAAAACTTGTTATCTTAATGGATATTTTGTACGTAGTACTTCGTTTGCGGTTAAAATTGACTCGGCCGTTGTTGCCTGTGGGCGCACGTACAGAAAACTGAAGATAACAATTTGCTCTTCTCCCACCCTCTCTCTTACTATCTCTGACTATCTTTCTATTCTCTATATATGTACTTGTACTTGTACTTGTGTTTTTTAGAATGAACCACGTTTGGTTCGAATATAAAGGTAGCGATATTAAAATCACTTTTCTATTTATTTCACACTCCTCTTTTAATTAAATAAAAAGGATAAAGTAGATAAAAAAAAAAACAATTTAAATCATCATAAAAACAGATGAATGCTTAACACTCATGAGGTTTCATGTGAAGCAAAGTAAATAATAACCAGAGCAGATCTAGATCGTGTAGCATTAAGAAGATATAAAAACAAAAGGCCAAACGATATTTTTTTGGTAAAACTAGTTGATTTATATTTTGCTAATGTTGCTTTTTTCGCAAACACATGCAAAATTGTTATTCAAGTATCTGGATTAATATCAAAAGAATCAATAACTTCGTAAAAAAAATTGTTATTTAAGCAATCTAATAATGACAAAACATGAAAAATATAATAGAAGTTATAATAGTTGCCAATTATTATTCCAGAATGTACGAAAAAGTCTTAAAAGCTTGCTCGTCATCTTAGAAACCACCCACATTCTACCAGCATATGCTATTAAATCCGAAATTGTATATTGCATGTTGCAATATCTTCACTATATGCAACAAACAAAAACACAAAAAAACGTTTACGTTTGCATAATTAAGCTGAAATACCTTACTACCAAAAAAAACTAAAATAAATCTATGATTTGCATTCAATGGGTAGCAGTTTGCCCCAAGCAAATTACCACAGACACTCATTCAAGTCGAGACATTTGGAGGGAGGCAAATTTAATTAACATTTTGGGGTGTGATTATTTGCGCTTTGATTGGATTAAGTCACGCCATGCCACTCTTTAAGTTAATTAAATTAAAACTTTTAGATTTTGACAAATTCATTGAATATTTGCGCTTTGCTGTCCATCTCCACTAAACCGAGTTGAAAATCAATTTACTTTGTGCAAAGCTAATGAAATGGAAACCGCTCACATCGACAATGAACTGGATAGTCCTTGCCTCACAACCTTTGCTTCAAGCACTCTGTGGCTTAGTTAATTGAGCTGATGTCCACGATGAGGTGAGCCAATGGAAGATAATGTAAATTAGCTTAAACGCATCATTTAATCTATTTTGTGATTTATTTTACTGCAGCTGTGTTCAGAATATTAAATATTTTAAGTGTCTCAGTTCAACTTGATGACGAGCCGCGATTGCCATTTCTTATAGAGAATCTCCAAGCCCAAAATAAACACAGCAATAGCATAGGTAAATATAAGTATTAACAGTGCAGAGCTCACAGTATCCATATCCACCTGGAAATCTAATATGTTTATTTAATTAAATAATACTACACCTATTGAGCTCACATGCAAATCAGAAGTAGAGATTTTTCTCACGCATGGCGGCTTCCGTGAGTGCCACACCTTGATATTGTAGCTTAAAATGCCAGATTCAGTAGCACGTCGCCAACTAAAAGTGCAGCAGAGAAATGAATAATGAATGTTATCTAGCTCTTCAGGAATACTATTTATATTTGATCTTACCCATAGGAAATGACCTTTCGCATTGGTGAGTTTTTTTGCATGTTCACGACCATTTTTTGCGGAGGAATCATGCTGATCTCTGTGAGATCGCATATGTCACGTTCGGAAAACGTTTCGGCAATAATTTTATAGGCCGCAGCAACATCGACATGAAAAGCAAAACCTATGAAAAATTTGTAAAAATTACTTCAAACAGATCTCAATTTTACATGCTTCTTATTCCTTATATCGAACCAATTGCTGACAAAGAAGCGAATAATAAGAATAAAATGCAGGAATTGTGAAGACATTTAAAATAATAAATATGTGTATATATTCAAAATTATTAGGTAAAGTCAGCTCAATCAATAAGCATTGTTTGAAAAATTAATCATTTTAAGGGACCCTTCCTTTAAAGGCTATTTAGCGAATCTGAAAAAAAATTATTAAATATAGATTTTTACAAAAAAAATACTAGTCTAAGTAATAAGTAAATCCCATCATTTTCAAAAATGTAGAACTATACTTTGACGTATCTCTGTTTTCGGATATTTAAATAGGTCGTATTTAAGTTGGATACAAATGTTTTTTTTCAAGCTCCACTCACGTTCTGTTCTCACTTTAAGCAAGCCAATGTCCGGCTCCAGCCAATTTGAACCTTCGGCAACCTTGGCATGGGCACCCGTTTCATGGCTATGCACAATATCGCGATAGGACTGATTAATGTTAACATTAGATTGCTCAGATTGCTCGCCACTTGGATCGTTATTATTGCCAGCTGGCATTCTTATGATTTTCTTAGCATACAATTCTATGGACACGGGATCTTTGGTTTTCTGTAAATAGAATTTGATACTTCCTTTCCTTTTGAAATTCATACACAACTTACTAAAAAGTAGTCCCGGGTATAAAGAATGTCCTCGACGCCCACTTTCAGGGAACTCTGCACCAAATCCGGGAGCGTTCTGATTGTCTTTGGTCGCTCCATGAGTAACGATCCAACAATACTGGCCGAATAGAACTGATAGATGCAGAAGGAGAACAGCAGACTGGTTATGACAATAGTACGACCGGAAATGAATTGTGTAGAAAACCCCAAGCCCTGCTGACAAATGATGCCAACAAAGAAGAGCACAGACTCCAGGAAGAGACCCACGCGTTCGGGTGATTTCTGCCGTGCTGCTCGAGCATCGAAATAGTTACGAGCGCGCAAATAGCAACGGCGTAGGAATCCACCAGTAATGGGCCGAGGCGAAAACACAGTATTTGTCTCAACAGGCAATGCACTGACACGGCGCTCCTCTCTTAGTTCCTGCGCCTGATAATGCGATAGTGGTGCCCCGCCCTTGGGCTTGATAAGGGCCATGCCATCATGAGGCAGCAACTTCCATTCAATTGTGGTTAGCAACCAGAGTATGAATACAGTCAGCGCACCACTGACCACAATCAGGATCCAGACATCGTCGGTGAACGGCTGCAAGAAGACAATGCGACGATTTTGCGTATTCCGCGGATGTCGAAAGATAAAACATGGTCGACTCGACCAACTGCGACCAGCCACGTCGACAAACTTGTGTCGCTCCAGCCAGTAGAAAATCGGCGAGCCACCAATATCTGTCTCATTGCGTATTAGCGCTCCAATCATGCCGTCAAAGCGACCGTTCTTCAAATAGCCCCAGGATGTGGTGCGCGCCAGCACAAATGTCCAGTTAAACATGTCACGCACCACCATAAGCATATTGAAGTTAAATCGGTTCATTGTGTCGATGTGCGGACTTATTGGATTTGACACATAGTCCATAATCGAGCCGCTCATATTCTTGTTTGTGATCTGTAATCAAAGGCGTAGTTAGTACAGCTAAACAGCATATGTAGACAACGCTTGATGCAAACTTGAATCAAAATAACCAACAACTATGTGCTAGTCAGCATTAATATATGTAGTATAGCATGATAAAACAAGATAGAACGCTACAGTCGAGCAAGCCCGACAGTAAAATAGCCTGTACTCTCCACAAAAAAGAAAAATTTAAAAAAAAAATTAAATTATTTAAAAAAATTAATGAATTAATTAATTAAATTAAATTAGAATACATGTTTATGTTCAGTTTAAACAGCATACATTTACATCACGTACCTATGCGTGTTTATATGCGTGTATGTATGCAGCACAAAGTTGAACCAAAGCAGCAACAACAACAACAGCTGCGGGCAGCGCTGCCGACAGAGCTGCAGGCAGCGCATTAGCAGCGATTTTACTTATTTTACTTATAACTTTCTTCAGAATTGACCTATCATGATGAAATTTGGCATACGGACACATTAGTACTAACTGGATGTACCTACCAAAATTGATTTCAAAATTCCGAGAAATACGGAAGTTATATAATAAAAACACGAATTGCGGGGGAGTGGGGGGGTGCATCGAAAAAAACCTCAAACTCGTACTTTCTCGGTCTTAGGAGAATATGGAAACCAAGTTTGGTTATTCTAGCTCTTATACTTTCTGAGATCCTTGCGTTCATACGGACAGACGGACAGACAGACGGACAGACGGACGGACAAGGCTATATCGACTCGGCTTTTCATCCTGATCAAGAATATATATACTTTGTGGGGTCTGCCACGCCTCCTTCTGTGTGTTACATACATGCGCACAAAACTAGTATAGCCTTTCACCCTTTGGGTACAGGCTATAAAAAAAAGTAAAATTATAAAGAAGCTATGGATATAATTATTTAAATTATTATTTTTTAATTATTTTGTTTGTAACAAGAGAGAACGCTACAGTCGAGCAAGCCCGACAGTTTAATACCCTGTACCCAGGTAAACTTCCGTCACTGAGTTATATGCGCCCAAAGCAGCAGCAAAAAGAGGAAGAAGAAGAGCGAACTTTTTGCTGCAGTTTGTGGGGTATGTACTAGTGAGAATTTGTTTCCCTAATTGTAAACAACAGTAGATATTTATTTATAAATTATGTGTGCAAAGTTTGGTTTAGGTAGCATTTGAAATGTGGACGCTATTGACGAAATTCTGTGAAATTAGTGCAGCTTCCCAACAGTAAAATAATTATTTAAATCGGTCCAGTAGCTTAGGAGCCTTTTCAATATAAACAAACAAGCAATCACAGCTTTCTTCCTTATAATAAATATAATAAATATGATTTGTTAAAAATTATTGTTCGCCCTGTTTTCTAAGTTCTGTTCAAATTAAATATATTTAAGATTACCTTTCCTGGCGTTTATTTAGAAGTGAAGAATATTTGTCTATGATTTGAGCCTCGATTGTTTTTAGGAATGTAAAATGAAATATTAAGGAAATATTGATCCACAAAATATTTACAAGAAACTAGAAACATTTTTTGGTCTCTTCTATCAGTTAAAATTAAATTAATGTAAGACACTCTGTTTAGGAATATTTAATTTATTTAATCTAAATGGAATCATACAGCTTTTAATATACTTACCACGATCATGGTCCGGACTTTAGCGTGCTGCATATTAAGGCGCCGCACCACCGTTGCTTTCATGCGAAACCAACGATGCAGTTGCATGCCATCCGGAAGTGTGAAGTAACCAATGTGCGTCATATTGACACGTCCGCCGTAGGTGAATCCGGGGTTCCTTGACGTTGCAAATATTTGTCATTTGCCATTAGATGTGCCAGCATTGCACTTACCAGACATCGTAGAGCGTGTAGCTGGCAGCATCAAGCACACGCTTGGCCAATGTCAGTTCCGTGTTTATGTAGAGGTTTAGGCCCTCCATGTAGCTTTCAATAGGCTCAAGCCCATCAGGTGTCGAGTTCGTCAGGTGGGCTCCGCTCATATGCAGCGCATAATCCTCAATCAATAACCAGTGATACTTGTCGTTGTAGAGCATCTTGGTGGAAGCCTTTGAAAATGATATTGCAGAGCGCTCTCTAACCCTGCTATGCCGACTCAGTCCCACTCCGACTCCCACTTACCTGCTCCAAGAAGCGACGACTTAGTATGCCGCATGCCAAATCCACGGCCACAATTTGACGCTGGGCTTCCAACTGCAGCACATTGTTCAACCAGTCGGCTCTGTTCAGTGCCGGGCTAAAGGTGGCACGACTGCCACTCCCCCCTCCCACCATGGGTCTGCCACGCTTTGTGCTACGCTGCCGCAGCACATCGAGGTAGACGACTCGCAGAAAAGTGAGTCCCGTCCCACTCTTAATGACATTGCTGCCGCCATAGATACGCTTAATCAGCTTGATATTCTTTGCTTCAAATGCAGAGCGCAGTTTCCGCAACCCAACGTTTTCATTGTTGACCGGATTGCGGCAGGTGAAGTAAGTTATGCGTGGGATTTGCTTGTGTTGTTGCGCGAACTGTAGGAGCAGGTTGCCCTGCAGCAAAGCCGTATGCTCCGCTTCCAGCTCAATGCCCATCGTTGGCCATTCATTGTCGTCAACCGCTGGGCTCAATGGAATCAGCAGCGTCAAAAGCAGCGTCAATGTCAAGCGGAATATTGAATCGTTGCACATTCTCTGATTTTGATGCATTCAATGCGGCTTTAATTCGACCGATCCGCCATTTTATACGACTTCAACCGTCTGTGTAGTCATTTATTCATCAAATGCCCTTATGTCTGTCAAATATTTTTTTTTTAATTTAATACCAGTTTTTGGCGTTAGCCATAAATCGCTCATGAAAATTTCACTTTTCTTGTCAACTGACATCGACCCTATCGTTATTCAATTTCATTCAATTACATTTCATAATTCATTCAATTCGCCATGTTGTTCGGCTGTCCTTTGACAACCACCAACCAATATTCATGGGAATGTGTGTTTGTCAATATTCATTGTTTGTATTGGCGATTGTCCTTTGGGTATTTCATTTAACTTGTGTGCGCCCATGTCACAAATTTGGACAGTTTGTCACTTTAATTGCATTTTTATTCTAAGGTCAGATTGAAAAAAATAACAAACACTTGTCTCATTTTATGTGAAATTAATCTGTAATGTGTTTTATCAATTTTTTAGTAAAACATTTAAATTACGGCTCCACAATAGAAATAATTAGTTGTATTAATTTTTACTCTGCATTCCAAAGAGGTACATTTTGGTAGAAATAATGGTTGTTATTTTTAAAGAATATACCTAAAATTGTTCAATTCACAAAAAGAGTTTTCTATTATCAACACCTACTACATCAAGAAGAAAATGTTTTAATTGAACATCAGCATCGCTTCTCCTTTTGGTTCTTACTTGACTTCTCGACTTGAGGTGTGTTGTCAGCTTCAGTTCCATAAATCAGTTACTTACACCATTTTCTGTATTCTCCTTTTCCATATTTAATATAGTGTTCTTATAGTAGATATAACTACATTTACAAAACAAGTATCTCATAGTCATGTCATGCTGACTAAGAATATATGTACATATATACATTATGGGGTCGGAGATGGTCCTTTCTACCTGTTACATAATTTACGTAGCCCAAACATACCCTTTTTATCCTTCCGGTAAATGGTATAACAAGTATCGATAATACCTTAATGTAAGACTCATTTTAAATTTATTTACAATATCAATAAAAAAGCTTATTTGTATATTTAAATTGTTATTCTGTCCCGTTAAATACTCCAATGTCAAAGTACGGATCATGGCTCACATCATGGATGACCTACACAAAATATTATATATGAATTATATTTATATTTAATAATGCATAAATTATACTCACATCTTCCGGCTGCAAGCCCCTACATTGCCAGATGCGCAGAGTAAGTGGACTTTGAATTTCGGGATCTCGAACCAATTGTAAGACATTGAATATTTCAAACACAAAGTTACGTGCAATATTAAAGTTTTCAAAATATATGGATTCTAGGTGCTTGCATTCCCTTAAAATAATTAAAACATCATCTAATAAAATGCTATCAGTCTCATTTTCGTTAATCGAAACATATATTAGTGAAAGTCTCTTTAATTTAGTCAATCGGGAAAACAATTTCACATCCAGCTGATTGGTGAGTCGAACAATTAATGTTTCCAATGATATTATTTTTGTTATTTCTTTTGTCTCCTCCAAATCAATATATGCTAGTATATTTAAATAGGTAAGAGTTTTGGGGTTTTTTTGGGAAAAAGCCTCCAGCAGCTTTTTAAGCGAGCCCAGATGATGCTGACCATCAAGTTTAAGCTTACTTAGGCGAGGTAATTTAGCAATTGCTGCATATTCTCTAGCATCTTCCTTCATATTTAAATTCAATTCTTGCAAGTTGTTGCAGTATGGCACAATGTCTGCGAAGTTTCCATAGATGCTGTTATTCTGAAATTCTATATAATAAAGACGTGGATTTGATATGCAGCATTCAACAAAGTCGTTAGCGCTCATCTTAGCATTCAAAACTAAAACCTCAAGTCCCTTTATAAAGCTTAAACTATCAATAGAATAATCTAAAAAAACAAATTCAAATTTGTTAAACTGTGCATCATAGTTATAAATTTACGAAAACTCACCATCTACCGAAATGTGTAAAGCATTTAATGTTGATATGTCCTTAAGTGCTATAAGAATTCTTTCGAAAGTTTCCACGTGTTCTGAATCAAATGACTTTCGAGCATATTTCAAATGCATGTGTTGAAGTCTGGGGTTTCTTTCAATCGCACTAAATAACATGCTCCAATACTTCTTCTTCTCCTTGGAACTCCAACTGTGTATTTTTTCATATTGTTCTTCAAGGCGGATCAAAACAGTTTTAGAATTTATCAATTTTCTTTCCATTTCCAAAATAATGTTAGCCTTTATAGAGAGCTCTTTATATAGAGTGGGCCATAGCCCTTCGATAAGTTCCCCAAACTGTACAAACACAGCGGCAAAATTAATAAGGTCTTCATAATTTGGTTTTAAATAGGATTCGCAGTTAAGTTTTATTTGTTTTAATATTTCTATTAGACAATACTCGTTCAATTTAAGAAGAGCTGATTGCTCTATCTTTCCAGGGGTAATTCTGTTCATGTTCGTAAGTAAGGCTCGTTTACGTTATTTTACTATATATTGGAAGTCAGCAAATTGCTGAAAATCTTTAGATATATCGTCATATGCTTTAAGCGCTGCTTCAACTGAACTAAAATTTGTTAATCTGAAAGCAAAGAAACAGAATCAATAAAAGAAAAGTTTATATATGATATATTCATATTTGTCTATAGTAACTCAGACCTGGAAAAGCATCTTCCAGATACTCAACTTTTTAAAAAGCAAACTAAAGAAAACTATGTACGAATAAATACAATATTAATACGTATACAAGCTTTAACAATGCTAATACTTAGGTTAACTAAGTTTTAATACCAAAAGCAACAGAAAGTCTGTGATACACAAAATTACAGAGTACTTCATAACTAGTGTTGGAAAATGTCGCAAATTTAATAGTAAAAACCAAAAACACTTATTATTTACGAAATCAAAATGTGAAATGTTGTTTGTAAACAAACATGAGTCGGCTTGAATATTTTTATATTACATTAACGATAACAAATTGCTAATTTTCATATTTGTTTCAATATTTGTGTTATTTCGCTTGTTCCCAACCTCAAAATGTGTTCAAATACTATTATTATTGTTTTAATTTATTTTATTCAACCAAATCAAAGCACGTTTCATTTCATGCCCTTCATTAGTTGGAGTATTACGTAGATATATTCTTTAAACAATATTCAGTTGCTATTCAATACATGCGAAGTAAGAAAATAGAAAAAAGATTTAAGTGGATAGCAAAAAGCCGGCAAAAAGGCACTAGGCAGGCCATAATTACCTTCACAGATTATTCTTTATTGCTCTTCCGTCAGTTAATGTAAACCTTCTTACCTGAATGTACCGCTTCGTATTCTTGTTAGCTTTTCATTATTTAATTTCACTTCTGTGCTTTGGCCGACTTTTCGAGTAATTTTTTAGTTCTCGTTTGGCCTTAAATATAAGTAACAATGCCAAAGACCAGGCACAAAGTCATATTTTCTTATTATCTGCGCTACCCTCGTAATAAGAAAACCAAAATGGAATTATTAATGGCATTGTCCATTTACTGCTAAGTGGCGCAAATTACATTTTTGTTTATTTTCCTTGAGCTTTCTTAGTTCTTCCTCGTTTTCCTTTATTTTTGTTTTGTTCTTGTCTTTTTTTTAAGCTTGACTTCATGGCCTTGTATGCTGCTGGCATCTCTTGTTTACAGATGTACCTTTGCACTGCGTTATTTATTGTTTCAACCTCAATATTTTTATATGGCTCTTGGCGTTGAAGTCCTTAATTGTTCTTCGAAGCAAACGAGGCAAGTCGAAGTATTTGCCATGCGCGTCGGAGCGCGTGGCTTTAATGGTTCGACGCTTCACTAACTTTGCCAAAATTTGTTTGCTCTTAAAGCAACAGCAACGCAGCCAGAAAGCATTTCAACATTGCGTATACATAATATTGTATGACCAAGTGTCCTGTAAGCCGATTTAAAAGTTGTTCAGCTTATTTTATACACTGGGCCCAATACGGACTGACTTCGAATTCAATTAAAAACAGCAAGCCGCAGAATATAGTTTTTGTAAGTTCTTTAAGTACCTTAAAAAGGACTTAGAAATAGAACGTACTGTGAAGAGCATCGCTTTTTGGTCTTAAATGCAAGCACCACAGCCCATTCAAAAACCATTTGGCCACTTCATGCAAATGCAAAACAGCCAACGGCTAACAAACACTTAAGCAACTAAAACAAAAAGAGAAAAGCTACTACAAGCAAACTGTCACTAATGAGTGGTAAAGAGCACGTTTGCAATTCAAAGACACCAATAAAAAGCGAGCAGTTTTAAACACAAAACAACCGACAACGACAACGACACTAACAAACAACAACAAAGACAATTTCAACAAGAAGTTGGCCAAAGAAACTTTTCCATAAAACGGACGGCGTGCACATTTTGCGTGCAGTGAATATTGGCTAAAGTGTCAACGACAGGGCCCGGGCCATTCGCCAAAGTAACGCTGTCCTGCCTTTTCGACTTGCTTTATGGAGCTTGCAGCTGCAGTTGTTCGCTGCAGTGGCAAGAAGTCAAAGTAAGCGGTCTGACAAAACCGCAACAAAGGCATGCAAAAGTGCAAAGTGAGCAAATGCAAAGAGCCAGTAAGGGTCGCATGTTGCACTGTGGAATAAGGCTGTCAATTTGTGCACAAAAATGATTAAAATCAATTGAAAAAGGAGCATGCCCAAAAAACCAGAAGTTAAACAAATGAAAAATAATATTCAGCCTTTGACTCATGAAAGAACTGTAAACATATAAAAATAATTAATGAGATTAGAATTGTTTAAATAAATATTAGAAAAAAATTTGAGAATAAAGAAAATAATTTCATACCCTGCGCCAGAAGGCTAAAAAGGGTCCAATATTTGAAGTAAGTTTTTGTAAGGCATGCATGTAACAGACAGAAGAAAGAACTTTCTACTCTATAAAATAAATATATTCTTATTCTATTATAGTCAAGATATATTCTCTGTTTGTGA